GTGATAATAGTGATGAAGAACGATGTTCATCGACATTTGGCGGATTAGATGAATACATGTAAAAAAGGGTTAAGCGTGTGTACGTATTCTAATCATTGTGTTTTATGCAAAACAATTATTTATCTGATATGGGTATCGTCCTTGTTTACCTGTTTATCTTTGATTTGAACCGTAATAGAGATATGCTTTTCAGATCTGGATCTAGGATGATTACCTGTTAGGTCCTATATTCTAGACATATATTTAGGCTTAGCATTTGCGTGAGTATCAGATCTTAATGTTCTGTGTTGTGTTTTTGTTGGATGAGAGATCACTAATGAGACAACATGGTTGTTCTCTCGATGCTGCTTTATAGATAAGCTTTGTCGTGGGTGATACGTGATGATATTAGACGAATGATTGCACTGTGTTTAATTTGACCAGAAGAATGCATATGTTATCAATTGATGAAATCCAATCCCAACAAGGCTCCGTTTATATTTCAGTCTTTATTTTATATTTTATGTTTTTATTTATGGTTCCTAGAACTTTTAAACCAAAACTTTTGAACAATAAGCTTAGAAATGTAGAGGTCGTTGAACGGCATTCATATCGCACTAATCCCTGTGGAAACGACAAAAACTGGGTACTTAATATTTTTTTGCTTGCTGCTTTACCGCACCAACAAACATCTAAATTGGAACTCGCCATGTTTGATGGCTTAAACCCATTGGAATGTTTGTTTCAAGCGGATCAATTTTTTACATTTTATCAATTACCACCAGAAAGTCGATTAGTTGTGATGTCTTTTTACATGAAAGGCGAAGCATTATGTTGGTTTAAGTGGATGCATCAAAGTCAGTTTCTCACAGATTGGTCATCTTTTACTAAGTCATTGGAACTACGGTTTGGCCCTTCTACTTATGTTAACCACCAGGCAAAATTGTTTAAGTTAAATCAAGAAAGTTCTGTTGTTGATTATCAAGCCAAATTTGAAAAATTGGGTACCCAAGTGTTGGGATTACCTCCGGATGCCATCCTAAATTATTTTATTTCTGGTTTAAAACCTGCCATTCAGAATGAAATTGCAATCCTGAAACTGATTTCCATATCTTAAGCTATTGGACTTGCTAAATTAATTGAATCCAAACTACTTGATGCTAAACCCAAATTTCAAAAGCCTTTTCCCCACTCATATAACCGTACCACTATTACGTCTAGCCAAATTCAAAATTCATCTTCTTCTCAAACACATGCAGTCCCTAAACTCACCCCACCATAACCATCCAAATTACTTATTCGCCGCTTATCCAATATCTAACTATAGGAACGCCGAGCCCAAGGTCTTTCTTTTAATTGTGATGAAAAGTTTATACCAGAGCATAAATGTGCAACAACCAGATTTCTCTTGTTACTCGCTGATGAGGAAACCCCCCCAAGTTGAACCACCCTATGACAAGGTCGATGAGGCAGAAGCTACTGACACGTATTTCCAACTTTCCCCTCAAGCTCTAATAGGCCAATTTTCACCTCAAACTCTCAAATTTCAGGGTTTAATTGGCGGACTTCAGGTTATGGTTCTTGTTGATAAGGGAAGCACTCATAACATTTTACAAACACAAATTTCTCACCACCTAAACCTACCCACTAAACCCATTCCATAATTTTCTGTTATGGTGGGAGATGGCTAACATCTACAATGTGAAGGAGTTTTTAATAATTTCCAACTGACCCTCCAACACAAACCTTTCTCCATTCCCTTTTACCTATTACCAATTAAGGGTGCAAACGTAGTGCTTGGAATGGTCTGGCTCCGCACTCTAGGACTCATTCATGCTGATTTCTCAATTCCTTCCATTACTTTCCATCATAATAACAACCCTATCACCCTTACAGGAGACCCTAAAGCACTACCCTCCCTAACTACCTTTCATCAGCTCAAACACCTAATCCACACAAACATTATTGCCTCATTTCACCTCTTAACCTTTCAACCTACTAGCAAATATGGGTCACGATTCCAGACCACATCTTCTCCTACAATCATTCAGCCAACCACCCTTGATCTTAACATGTTAAACTAATAGACCGCTACCCTACAATCTTTGAAGGCCAGCCTGGCCTCCCCCCTCACGACCATTCGATCATCACATACCTCTTCTCCCTAACACCCAACCCATAAATGTAAGACCTTATCGCTATCCTCATTCTAAAAAAGAAGCAACGACCATCCTAATTCATGACATGTTAAGGGATGGCATAATTGTCCCAAGTAACAGTCTGTTTTCCTCCCCTGTCCTTCTAGTAAAAAAAGGCTGGCACATGGCGTTTCTGCATGGATTATCGAGCGCTTAACGCAGTTACTGTCAAAGATTGATTTCCTATCCCAACCATAGACGAACTGCTGGATGAATTGGGTAGTGCAAACGTGTTTACTAAGATAGAACTCCGCTCGGGTTACCATCAAATTCGGGTTTCATTGGAAGACACTCATAAAACAGCTTTTCGAACATTTGACGACCATTACGAATTTTTAGTAATGCCCTTCGGCCTTACAAATGCACCGTCTACTTTTCAAGCAGCTATGAATGAGTTGTTACGTCCCTATCTGCGACATTTCGTTTTAGTTTCTTTTAATGATATTTTGATTTACAGTTCTTCCATCTTGCTTCATCCTTTCTTCTTCTTATACACAATATAAAATGAGCTCTTTAAGAGACCACTTCTCCTTTTGACATTTATAGCTTATCATCTTAAATTGACCAAATTGTGCAGGAAGAGATATTAACACCAAAGGCACGAGTAAATAATCCGACAACTTAAGTTTTAGTGCCTTAAGTTTGGAAGCAATGTTAGACATTTCCATAATATACTCTCTTATATTTCCTTTGCCTTTATACTTTATAGAAATCATGTTTTGAAGGGGTGTGCTTGTTTCCGACTTATCACTTTTAGCAAAGTGCTTTTCAATTTCAGCAAGGAAGTCTTTGCCACTTGTTATTTCTTCAGATATAGTACCCCTAAATGCCACACTTTATACTCATAAGACTCATGCGATTGAAGCGGTCCTACTTCTCATAATTTTTCCTTTCCTCAGGAGTAGTGGAGTCTGTAGGAGAAAGGGGATGCTCTATCCTTAATGCAAGGTCAAGATCCATGCAACCAAGAACAATTGAAATGTTCTCCTTCCAGTCCTTAAAGTTTGCACCATTAAGAATCATGATTGAGTTCATGTTAGCAGATATAGTACCAATATTAATTGTAAAGAAAACAAACTAAAATAATATAAATATGCTCACATAATCAATTACAAATCAACTCAAATAATATTTGTTCAAATAATATCATAATTAATTTCAAGATATCTAGTGCAATATTAATATAAATGTCTTTAGACAATAGTATTAATTTTTAGTGATACTCTTGTTGTAATGATCAAATATTGACAATAATGTATGTCAAATAATAAAACTAACTTTGAATTGATTTATTATTCACATCTAAAACCTTATAATTATCACATATTTATCATCACATGTGTATATATAAATTTTGTCAAATATTAACATTTTCTTTGAAAAAATTAATACTCACATGTATACACATACACACTAACACTCAACATTTCTCATGATCAAATGCATAAAAGAATAGTCACTTTGGTGATTTTTAGTCTCAATAGGATCATTTAAAATGTCAAATTATTATATAAAATACAAATCATAACCAATAATTTGAACATAAAAAAAATACTAAATTCAATGGACAAAAAGTTTGAGGGACATCGTACAATCCAACACAACATGCCCACTGTCTTTTTAGTTTATAAGAAGAAGAGAAAAAAAACAAATTTGTAAGAAAAAAAAATGAAATTATCGTAACATTGTAATAATCACGTGAAACGGTAGATATTACGCGAAACAGTACAAATGACTAATACTTTCTGTGTTTGCAGTAACATTAAACTATATATGTCTTTCATGTGCATATTTCTTTGGGTAAGAATGAAAAATGAAATGATATGATTAATTAATTTCAATCAGAACAAAAACACAATAGAAAACTTATTAATTATTTCAATCAAAACCAATTGTTTGTTTTTGTATAATGACATTCTATTTTGAAATTCTAATTTCAATAATTATCAAAATTCACACATGAATCGAGTATGAGTGGCTCTGATACCACTTGTTAGAATTGTATTAATTAACATACATTAATTTATACTCAATACAAGATGAAATAGAACGCGGGAGCATACCTTTAGGATCCATGTAATTTCAATGAGAAGATGATGATCTTGATAAAGCAGTGACCTTCCAATTGTAGATTTATTTTTAATTTCTTAGTTGACTTTATAAAGAAAATTTTGTACATGTTTGAACTCGGGCAATCTATGAAGAGACTTTATTTTTATTATATTTTTAAGGTTGGATGTAATAAGAAAATGGATAAAGTCCTCTTCAATGATTCGGCTAACCATTGGCCGAGTTCATACATTTGCGTAAAAATTTTCAAAAATCGTCTAACCAATGGCTGAATTTAAAAATAAAGTGTGGCATTGTGATAAATTTTTTTAAAATAATGTCATTTTAGTGTTTTTATTTTTAAATGATGGCTGGTGGATAAAAAGGTCACCGTTGACCATAATAGAAATATTTTGAGTACAAAACTCTTCTTTACTATGTGGACTAGATTGATTTTCAAGAACACAAAAATCATTCCAATCTAATACCATAAATTCATTTTTTTGGCTTTATAATTTTTAAATAGGTTCAATTTTCAGCTTATATACATGAGCACCGTGAAAATTCACATGAACACGTAGCAGCTGTTTATTAAAGATAAAGCATACATAGATGCAATGTGACAGTTAAATTCAGATCGAGCAACTTATTTATCATTATAAGTAATAGAACATTTCAATCATAGCCCGAAGCATGGACTTCATCACTGGTTAACATGAGTTCAAAACTAAACCATAAACAACAATGCTCAAGTTTCAGACGAGTCCTAAACACTTAAATAGCAGATACTGAAGATTTAGCACCGATGGTGAAAGGAAAGATGACACAAGTTAATTGATCACCGTCATTATCATCAAAGGTCAGCTTCACATTATAAGTACCCTGCAAAAGTAGCACAATTAATCTAAGCAATGAACTCAACAAGTTATATAGAAAAAATGAATCTATGCATTGTCTCCGTAAACAAGGGCGCACTCACGCACTCGCGCACACATATGTGATAAGGTAATACTAACCGGCGGGGTGACCGGAGGCAATAATTCAGTATGAGTGAGCAAAAAGCGGCCTGGACGGACGGGAAGCGGTGTTTCCTCGCTGAGAGCATGGTGAAATATTGCAGGTTGTCCTTCAATCCCAGCATATGAAATTTCATATATTAAATCACCACTTTGAATTGGTTCATCTGCACCAAAGATAGATACCATACAATTTCAATTAATTTCCAATATGCTAGTAAATGATATCAGTACAGTAGGAGAGAAAGAAGAATGACCAGTATAAGCTTCAATTTTGAAGGTGAATGGCTCTCCTCTCACCACAGGGTCAGGTAATATTTCTACACTGCTAACCTTAACTGCATAGTCTACATCCTTTTCTGCATAGCACAATACTCAAATCAATAACCAAATAGTTTAACAAACATAATGAAAACGAAGAGTAAAGGGAGTATAATTACGACAGTATTTAAGATTCTCAGATTCAGCTTGAGCATGAGAAGAAAAAAGTAGCAAAAGTGTTGATGATAAGCATAAAATGAGGTTGAGCTTTGAAGAAGAATGAACCGCCATGGGAATATTTTAGTATGCTACAAAAATCTCTAAAGTGGGACTCTAACCTTACATACTTAAATACATATACAAATACACGTATGAAATAATCAAATAATAATGTTAGTATAATAGTTACGCATGCAACGCATGGTTATTATTATATGATTTTCTTTTTTTTCAAAAGATGCTGACTCTGTAGTCTGTGGACAACATTACTGTCACTTTTTATATTAAAATATATGTTTTTCTCTACAACATATTAGAAAAAATTATATATTTTTTATTTAAATTATTGAAATAAATTTATTTTAATTGTTTTTTATGTTCAAAGCTACCGTTATTTTCTTTGTCAAATTCTAGTATTTTCTTTAATATATCAAAACTTCTATTGAAAATTATCTCTATGTTTTTTTTTTTGTTAATAACATGATCTAAATTAACTCTTATTAGTGTTTATAAACGTACATTGAAGATAAAATATATATTTTTTAATTAAATCAAAATCTTTTTATTAGTTATATTTTGAATTGTTTAGATGCATTTATGGTTTTTATATTTTAATCAAAATGAGTTATTTGTCTCCACAATATTAAATTTTTTTTTATTTTTTAGTCTCTAGATTAAATATATTTTGAAATTTCTTTGACATTAACGTGACAAGTACGAAAAAAAGTTGATGCAAAATTTTTTTTGGTTGATATCTATTCTCCCGCATTTATATGGAACATTTCAGAAAAATTCCTGTAAAAAAATAGTTTGATGAAATGTTTCAATGTTTGAATATTTTCTCGCTTTTAATTTTCATCAGGCCAACTTATCAAAAAAGCTGATGTGACACTATGTATTTTTTATTTTTTCTATTTAATGTAATTTTCACATGTGTATTTCAGTGTGTAAAAATTCAAATGTCTCCAACTAAAAAACAAAAGATGAGAGTTGTGAGAGAGAGTGTAAGTGAATGTTCATTCAACGGGAAAAAAACCCTAAGTTCAGTTTCCTTCTTTTTCATCTTCGTCGTTCATCGTTGTCCACCATTGAAACACATTGAAGCATTCAACGATCAACATCAAACATATATTTCACGTGTTATCTATTGAGTGGTCAATGGCTGCCAACATGGAGTATGTGTGAGTAGTGAAAAATTCATCATTCATATAATGGACTTTAATTTGTAGTTGATCTTGGGAAAAAATTATACATGTTGCTTTTGGGAACTAGTGGGGATATCTTGTAGACATGTTGTTTTTGTTATGCAGTATCAAAATTTGAACCCTGAATTATATGTTGACTCATATTACATGAAGAAGGCCTATAAAAACTTCTATAACAAGGGTTCAGGTAGGCCTAAGAACTTGAGGTTTATAGAGGATGATGAAACTGGGTCTAGGATTAGGAGGCCCAGTGTAGCTTATAGATGCACAAAGCGTGACAAATTTGACCATAATTGAAGGAAATGTCAGAGCAAAGAATAAGATCATAATGCATTGAAGAGAAAGGTGATAAATTATGGTTCTTAAGTATTATTCTAATTTACAAAATGTTGATGTTTGACAAAAATGTTTGCAATCTCATTGTATGCATAGGAAAACACTAAGGACCAAATCCTCTTTAACTGCTCTTGAAACTGAAGGGGTGTCTAAGGCAAATGACGTTGAAAGTGTGTCGCATCTCAAAAAATACAATCATTCACGAAGCATTCACACGCTTGCAGAAAATTGATTCGGACAGAGTTGCCACTAAACTTTATTTATTCCAAAGAAGAAAGGGGAAAATATTGATAAAACCCTTAAGAGAAAAACAAAATGGTTGTCACAACCAAATTTGGGTCTGAGAGTCGATTACACAAGGAGAATGTATTAGCACCCCTCATGTCTTTTGTACTCAATGAAAACCTTTTAGTTACAATTGTGATTGGATGTTAGCGTGATGTTAGTTTGCGATCTTATACTTATTGAGCGAAAGAAAAGAAAGAAAAGATTTTTAGGTTTTTTATTAATGTATCTGACAAGATTTCAAAATCATGCTCCTACGTATCTTAAGGTGCGATGAAGAACTGAAGGCTACATAGTTCTTTATAGAAAAGACCTATTTGTTGGTTTCTTTTAAAGAGTGATGTTTTAGGCATATTGAGTGGTTATACATTGCTCGCTCTTGGAGGCTGAAGCATGTGTTTATTTCACGATATGGATAAAGCACACTCATTTTTGAAAAGGTTTTCGAAGTCGCACAAGGACGAAAAACAAGTTTGATTCATTGAGTTTCTTTTATATGGATTAGCGTAATCGTGGGAGGAAGGTGTGCACCGAGCATTCGTTTACCCAATGCTTCTAGAGAGATGTACATCTCTTGGTCCTTTGTGGTCCATTTTATGAAGGTTTGATCTTTGCGGAATATGAGCAAAAAATTTAGCATAGGTGTGCACCGAGCGCTCGTTTACTCGGGATTCACATGGATGTGCTTCCAATTGTCCCTTTATTCCAAGTTTGATTAATGTGTTTTTGATTTGAAAGATTAATAGTCATTTTAAATCTGGTGTGCTCCGAACACTCGACTATTAAGGGGTCTAAAGATATGTGCATCTCTCGTTCATTTTCCTTTCAATTTTTATTAAGAAAGGGTTTTTGCGCATGACACGAATTGACGTTGGATTGTGTGTCTCAAATTTATTATGAAAAAGAGTTTGAATTAAACGAAGGAGGTGTTTAACGTTGGATTAAGCACTCACGTTGATGAACATGGTTTGATTTGTGAAAATTGCTCGACGTTGAATCGAACACTATTTTTATTCTTTTTTAAAGTGGTTGGTTTTAATCTTGAGTTACCAAATAACTAAGATAACAAAGCAACCGAAAGGAAAACAATAAAATAGGCAAGTAATACAACCCGGGGGACATACTTTTTTCCAAATGGGGATTCCAATAAGGATAATCAATAGAAACAAATTCAATACAAAGCAAGAAAAAAATTCAAAAGATAGAAGGGCACAACGACATATTTATAGTACACTTTCATTGTAATTGAATCGAAAGAAGGTAAAGCAAAAAAATGAAACGTGCACGGATCAAGATCATGATGAAAGGACGCGAATCGATGTCGCGTAATGCAAAAATGTGCAAGGCTACCAAAAGAATTCAAATTTGGTTTAAAAGTAACAATGTTGAATCATTACATGCTATCATAAATGGAATGTATTGCTTAATGTAAAGCGTGTCATTGCATAACTGGTTACCACAATGCATTGTTGTGATTTTTGCCTTGAATCATGCCCTCTTGGATATTAGCTTGCACTTTGAACTTGTGCTTGGATGAATTGGAATTTGAATCCTTTGGCTTGACTAGATTGCTGATTAGATCACATGACTTGATCCGTAAGGAATAAATCCACCATCATTGTCATGCCAGCACCACTTTTATAATTAACAAAACCCTTGAATTGAAAACCTATGCCATAAATGCAATCAGAAATTAGTGCACATGCACATGCGGAAGGCTTAAAAGGTCAGATAAAAGAGAATGGATAAGACAAATTTTGGGGTATGACAATATGTTGTAGAATTTCAGTATCAGCATCAGTCATTTCAATATCAACCCCAACCACAGTATCAACAGCCTTCTCAGGCTTAATCTCCACAATACCAACAGCCTCCGTAAGATCAAGCTCTTATGAATCAATAGCCTAAGAACAATAAAGGTCAAGATCATAACCGTCGTGGGAATCATAATCAGAATGGAAGACGTTAGAATGATCAGATCATGTACCTTATTCACATTTGCTACCATACCTTGTCGGGGCAGGGGAAGTCGTGCCAAAGGAAATTCCTCCCGCCAACTTCCCTTATCATGCAAAGCATAATCCTAGTGCCTCATGTGCCTACCATGCCGGGTACATAGGATATTCTACCGAGGATTGTTCGCCTCTCAAATCTAAGGTACGAGAGCTCATTGACCAAGGCATTTTGTCATTCTTTGAGGCAGGACTCAATGTAATGACTAATCATTTGCCTGATCATAATGAGCAACTGGTGAGCACGGTTACTGAAGAGGAATACACATAGTGGTTAGATGGGTTGCATCTGCAGGAATAATGAGCCTAATCACGCCAGCAAACATATTGCCTTTCAATCTTTTTATTTGTAATATTTTTCTTATTTGTCAATGTATTGTTCAATTGAGAACTTGTTTGTTTTTTTAATATGAATAATAATGAAATGAATATGCATGTTGTGAACAAATCCATTCGTGTCCATGCGTACTTTTTATCGGTATCAAACATTTGATCAAGCAAAATCAAAAAGAGAATGATAAAATAAAAAAAAGACACTAAATAATTGTTTGTATGCTTGGAATATAACGTTGTTGATGATGTAAGACATTGTTTCAATCCCTAAACACCGGAGGTATAAGTAAGACAATCCCTAGTCAACCCCTTTGGGCCTTGGAGTAGGAGTTTCTTTTTGTACATAAAACCCTCAAATCTAACCCAGGGGCATGGTAATGTTAGGTTAGTTCGACCGTGTTCTCAAATTTTAAAAGTGGAATACCCCATTTGAGGATCAACCACATCTTATTCCTCATAAGAGGTTTAAAATCACAAATCCATAATGGATGTCCCTCAACAGCAAAAGGAACGGAGCAATCACAACCCTTACAAACCATACAAACAAATGTCACACGATTTGTTCCAAAAAAAGAGAGAAATTCAAAAAACACAAAATTAAAAAAAAAAAGAAGAAGAAACTCGCTAAGTCAAAAACTCAAACGAGTGACTTAGGAAAAATTAGGGCATCCCGATAGACTACAAACTCGAAAAATTACTCTACGCAAAAATTAGGGAAAGCAAAAACAAAAAAAAGAATGAAAAGCAAAAATCCTCAACTAGAACAAATTTGTGCAAAAGCAGAAGGTGAGTGACCGCCACTCCAAAAGCCTTGTTGGTTCCTTAACCACCGCATCTATCATTGAAAACCCTTTTTGAAAGGTGAACGCTTTGTCGAGCTAGTTTAACTTAGGACTAGAGAACATTAAGGAAAATGTGATAGATTAAAAATAAACTTTGAACCCTGAATTCTTTCTTTTCGAAATCGTGAACTAGGCCATATTATAACCCTCAAAATATCTAATTGAAGCAGTGTTTATTTCGAAAGCATACTACAGTAGGACCGTGTCAAAGCTAACTCCTAAAGATTTGATTATCATTTATGTTGGTATTGATTTGGCATTCTAACTAGTAATTCATTTGTTATAAGTCATAATATTAGTGAACATACTTGGATTTTAAAACTGTCATATGCATAGCATTAGCATTTTCAAATAAGCATTTGACCTCAAGAAAGCTTGCACTATAGGAAGTTTGATCACACCAAAGGGCAAGCATTAGCATTTTATACTCAGTCAAAATGGGGCAATCATGTCAAGATTCGACAAATCTCTCCGATATTAGCCAACCAAGGGAAAAATTACTTCAAGGCTCGTATTGGGGCAGACCACCTCAAGAGCACGAAAAGTCAAACACTCCCGAAATTGATTAATCAAAGGGTTATAGTTTCAAGACACTGGGGCAGGTGAGTTTGAGATTTTCAAATTACAAAACCGCTTCACAAACTACTATTGAGGAAACTCATGCAAATACCCAACATACTATGGCATATGTAGGCTATGCAGGCACAAGCTCTCTTCAGGTTTCAAATCAAGCGCAGAGGTGTGTCAACAACTTTTGATCCTGAAGTAGGTGTCGGAGAATCACGTCTTTATGACTTCTATCCTAGCCCTAAATCTCCCACCACCCGTCATATGAGCATCGATTCAGCCATTACATAAATCGTCATTATTCATTAATTATGTCACTTCACTCATGTGTATCATTCATTTAGTATAACATGAAGCCTAGTGGAACAAACCTAAAAAACCAAAGCCCAATATTACTGGAAAATCCAAAATCTAAACTTGCTGGTGTCTTTTAAAGCCCAGTCTTGTTTGGTACATCCCCGAAAGCCCAACCTGTTTGGCATCTTTTAAAGCCTAACCTGCTTGGCATATATTTAAAACCCAACCTGCTTGGTATCTTTTAAAGCTAGACTTGCTCGGTGTCCCTTATCCTTTTTTCCAACCTCTATGGTTGATGATCCTTTTTTGAACCTTCGTGGTTGTTAATATTTTCATAACCTTCATGGTTGAAGATCCTATTTTTTCAACCTTTATGGTTAATGATCCTTTTTCTAACCTCTGCAGTTGTTGATCTTTTCCTAACCTTCATGGTTGACGATCCTTTTTTCCAACCTCTATGGTTGATGAACCAAGTTCCAACCTTTAGAGTTGTACCCTTTTTCCAACCTTCATGGTTGATGATCTTTTTTCAGCCCTCACAATTGATGGCCTTTTTTCAACCTCTATGGTTGATGCTTTGTTTCCAACCTTTGTGTTGATGACTTATGTCCAACAATTTGACATCTCTATCATAAAGGATTCAATTGAAACCTCTAACTGCAGGGGCATCCTAAAACTTTCTTATCTAACTTATGGGTTCCTCAATTTAATCAGGATCATACCAGAATCAGAGTTTACCTTTCAACCCACATGGATTCATAATTGACATGGCTTCGTGCATCATGAAAATTCAAACATCCATTGCATATATCATGTGGCTGATCTATTTTCCCAATAGGACACTTCAGTCAATCCTCAGCAGATGAGCCTACGAAAGTTTACCTACCATTCCATGTCCCTAATACTCATTCACTTCATATGAAAATCATTTTCAGCGGGCAAGTTTTCGGATATCCTTGTATATAATCCTCTCATACTTTGAATACCCAAAAAGCGATTGCAATTCGTGCACTCAGGCCCAAGATGATTAAATAGGAACAGTTGTCATACCCCAAAAATTTCCCTATTTTTTCTATTTTCATCTGGCTTATGTTAATCCTAAATTAAAGTTCCCTCAAAATTAATAATATACATGCCATCAGATCATTCATCACTTCTTTGAACAATACCAAGTCATCTAAAGTATCATAAGAAAATTTCATTTGGATATCGCATTTCATCTGGTCAAGTGGCATCTCATCATCCAGATGGTTCAAAGGTTCATTCTTAAATCAGATACCATTAACTATCACAAATATTTCCATTGGGTTAACTTTTGTTATTTAGGTTGACTCTTTCCTCATCCTTTGTTAATTGTTGACTTTTAACACACTTGGTGATTGTTGATACTTCATCGGATTTTCTAAGTTTTGGTGACTTTATGTGAAGGTTGACTACTTTATTTGGTACATGTTAATAAAACCACATTCATATATTCGTCATTTAGGCCATCTTCGTTTTATTCATGTCAAGTTGACTTTCTTATTGATTTGACTTTGAATGTTTTTTTTTTGGATTGGAAAGTAAGTCATTTCTGAATTGCTTAGTTACCAATACATTACAAGCATTTACAGAGTTTAAGGAAAAAGATTCAAAGGAAATTGAAAAAGAAAACAATGCATTGATTAAAATTGTCACAAAAGCCTATGATAGTGTCATCATGGAGATATCCAATCCTCAACTTGATTTAACCTACATCCTATATAACAAACCGTCATCCTCATTCATGGGGAGGGGTCACTCATCACCTTCTCCATTCACAATTTGCTCTCTCTCTCTCTCTCTCTCTCTCTCTCTCTCTCTCTCTCTCTCTCTCTCTCTCTCTCTCTCTCTCTGATTCTCAATTCATCTTCTACCTCTTACCAAACCCTCACCGGAGTTCTCATACCACCCTACTCTCACGAAACTATGCAACAATCTTCAAGAACACGTAACACAGAAATTCAACGCAGAAGAATCACAACAACAAGGATCAGTCACAGCCATACGCAGAAGGAGATTGAAGAAGAAGAATATAACAAAGAGAAAAGAGTAAGAGTTGTATCTGTGAAATCGCCGACGCCAATTTAGTAAGCACTTCGAGTTAACTTATTTGCATAATTCTTCTAATTCCTGTCAATTTCCCGTTTCAACTAAGCTTCAAGATCAAATTTGAATTGAATACTGATAGGAAGTTTTCCTATCAAATCTACGAAACTAGGGTTTCTACAATAAATGGGGAAGAACACTAAAGTGACTAATAAAAATAAAAGATAATAAAAGATAACTTTTTATTTCATTCATTGATATTTTCTAATGTATGATAGACACTACATATATAAAACTCTTAATGGAAAATTAACTTAAAGCCCAAAAGTTATTAAAGGCCCAATTCAACAATATTTAAATATCCTAAGAACATTTTAAATATAAATACTAATATAAATTCTCTTCCTAATTTAATATCTAAAATATATATTTAATCATAATTCATACTCTATCATTACTCACCCCTTCAAAATCAACCTTGTCCTCAAGGTTGTAAAAAATCTTATTGCTAGATTAATCTTTCCTGGATCCCACTGTTCGAAAGAAGAATTAGTAGCCATATTCAGATCCAACTCTCCACCCAGATCCCATTCTTTTCCATTTCTAAAAGACACACAAATTGGTTTTCTTCCTTTAATCAATTCTTCCTTGATCTCAACATTCTCCAAGTTTTTCTGTAGTGACCCAATACTGAAATAATTCCTCAATAGTTTCACTACCAGTATACTATATTCATATAGAAATAGAACTTCATGCCTCCTGTGAGAAGTGCTATAAAAGGACAACAAAAGTCTGTTGTGTAAACTCTTAACAATCTTACCTGGATTCCAAAATTGTGTTGTTCCTATGAAGTTGTTCTCAGATATGGTGAAAAAAGAATATTCATGGTTATTGGCACCACTACTAGTAGTCCCATGTTCATAAATGAACCTCAATTTCTTAAAGGAAAAATTAAAGTGTGATTCAATTGGCACCTTTAGTGGAAACAAGTGGAGGTTGCTCCAGTTAATTTTAGTAGATATCACCATAATAACATGAAGTGGTCCAATAATCACAATGGTGGAGTATAACCCAAGGCCAACGACAATCTCCATGTCTTCCTTATCCAGACATCGTTGTATGAATTGTTTTGAAAAACACGGCAAGAACAGTGACGATATTGGAATGCCAATTTGATCTGGTGGTTTCGGAGGAATCGCAAAATCAGCTTCATTATGAAACCCTCCATTTTTGAATTGAGGCTCAACCACAAGTTTAACATTGATATCAGAGATTGTAGGTGGATGAAAGATATATAGAGAGTGTATTGTGGTGTTGTGGATAGGTGTTGCAAATAAAAGTGTGGTCTTTGTCTTGCCCAAATCTCTAACAGGATATTCCTCAAACACCTCATGTGCATCAGCCATCAATCCAAAATTCAAGTAAGTATTAACCAAAGCACTTCCAACATATAATTCCAAACCAAGTTTAAACAACAATCCATGAATCTTCTTAATCTCCAAAACCTCTGCATAACTACCATAAGCTCTACTCACACATGGCAACGGGAATTCATCAGGAACAACAATACCCAGATGATGCATTTGCTTATCCATGGTAGCAACATCACCACCAAGATAAACATGTTCAACTATAGAAACTTTGTTGAAGGATTTTTCTTTAGTAGAATTAATCGAATGTGAAACTTTGTTGAAGAGATTTTTGCTTGATGTTTTTAACAGAATGACTTGGAAAGCTTCATACCTTGGTTTCAGTTTCAGCTCAGGAGGTTTCGATGGTAGTTTTGGTGGTTCTGGTTGCAGACTTGATGGTTCTTGTATTGATGCTGAAGTAGTCGCCGGAAATGAGGCCGGGATTTTCAACGGAGAAGACTTTGAAAATGGGACTGGAGAAGTTGTCGGAAATGTTTTCAGAGTGGTAAATGTCGCCGAAGAAGTTACTGATAATGTTGTTGGAGTGGTAAATGTTGCTGGAGAAGATGTCAGAATTGTCGCCGGAGATGCATTTTTCGTTATTATTTCTTCTTTTGGACAGTTTTCTTCTGTTTCTTCCGATTCTTCTTCTGTTTCCGCTAAAGTTCGATCTAAGGTGTCACTTTTAAGAGATTTTCTACATAGATCTGATGATGATGATTCTTCTACATCATCTTCAACAGTTTCAGAGATTGGATCCATGAACTCCATTGATTCATAAGTTGATTTCAGAGCTGGATCATCCTCTTCGTCTTCTGGCAAAAAATTTCTCCATTCTGGTTTAAATCTCCATAACAAGGTTGTTGTAAATTTATCCCAACTATATTTATGATGAACACGAGAGCACCATATCCACCATTTGAGAGCAGAACCTCTCAAAGCTCCAACAGCTTTCAACACCTTCAATGACTCAGGTGTTCCATGCTTTTTAAAAAATTTCTCAAAACAAAGAATCCACCAATACGCATCTTCTTCTCCATTAAACAATAATATTGTCATGAGTTAAAGTGGAAAGTGAGATCGAAAATGAAAGCACCAATTGATAGGAAGTTTTCCTATCAAACCTATGAAACTAGGGTTTCTACAATAAATGGGGAAGAACACTAAAGTGACTAATAAAAATAAAAGATAATAAAAGATAACTTTTGATTTCATTCTTTGATATTTTCTAATATGTGATAGACACTACATATATAAAACTCTTAATGGAAAATTAACTTAAAGCCCAAAAGTTATTAAAGGCCTAATTCAACAATATTTAAATATCCTAAGAACATTTTAAATATAAATACTAATATAAATTCTCTTCCTAATTTAATATCTAAAATATATATTTAATCATAATTCATACTCTATCAAATACGTGGTAGTTACATGCACTGCAACAAGATCCATGACGAGGAAGCTATCAAAACTGATACATGTCAAGACCACGTTTAAAAACCGCATTTATAAATCGTGTTTGGAGAGACCATCAAAATCGCGTTGCTATTGAATCGCGTCTGTAGATGACGCTGAGTGAGTTCGAAATTATTGAAAGCTTTTTAGGGATTTTGGATGATAGTTTAGGACTTGGTTGTGCAATTGTTTGGAGCGGATACATGAAAACATGATTGCAATAAGTGATTTCTAATGATGGCTGAACGCTGGGGTCGCGTTTTAGGAGTTCATGTATGTAGAAATCTCGTTTGCTTCGTGTTTTAGGGATTTTGGGGAAGCAATTGGGATAAGACTTAGCTGAGGAAACGCGGTTGGGCCTCTTCACCTTTGGCCCAAACGTTTCCTTCTTGCACCCAAACATGGTCCAATAGACGCCCTGCTGAACCTCATTTCTGATGTTGGGCCTGTGCTATCAGGCCCAAACATGAATTTGCTGCACACACACCTGCTGCGCATATGCACCCCCAGGCCACTTCTTATTTCCTTTTTTTTTTTTATTTTCTTACTTTTATATATCTTTTCACTTTGTTTGTTTTAGTTTTTTTTTATTTTCTTTTTAATTCATCTTATTTTCTTTTACATCAAAAAATACCTTAAAAAATATGCATAGATTTTTAATTTTGATTTGTTAATCCCTTTTAAAAATTAGAAATTTAAGGTTAGTTTGATTTTTAGGATTCTAGTCATTATTTTGTTAAGAATTAAATTCTTTAGATCCATGAATCAACACGCTCCCATAGTTTATGCTAGATTTAGGAATGAATCTGATTGTAGAAAGCTCTGACCTCTGAATCCCCTAGGTTTGAGTCATCGATTTCTTTATGCCTGATTTTCCACTGATTTCATCATATCTGATTAAGTTGATCAAAGATGCTTTGATCAACTAAATCCTTTGACGGTGCACACTCCTTCTGTCTAAGTCAAGTGATCAAAAGTTTATTGATCACTTGTGTAGTGGAAAAATTTGAGATTAAGCTATTGATTAACTTAACTCATAAAGCAAGAGTCGTCACCGCACTTTTATTTTTCCAAAGGAATGGAAAAAGAACGAACAAAATTCAAAGAAGTTTTAAAATAAAACTAATAAAAACAGAGACAAGGGTAAAGGAGTTGGTTATGCAATGGGAAGGTGTTAGCACCCAAAACATCTATAGTACTCTATAGGAACCTCTTGAAAATGTATGTTTGACTTAAAAGGTGTTGTTTGCAAAAGATAGTGGAGATGAGAAGATAAATATTTTTTTAAGTTTTTTGTGTTTGACAAGACATTTTGAGTCTTGTGCCTACGTACCCATAAAGTGCAATGGAGGATCAAAACCTTGTAGTTCATGGTAAAAATAACAAAAAAAAGTTTGATGTGATTGATTTTAAATGGATAAGACAAGTTGTCATATTAAGGAGAATACACAAGTAGTCACCCATAAGTGTATGAAAATGGACCTTTGCATCACTATTGAGAAGGACTCCAACTTGGATTGAAATCAACAAGTATGCCACTAGCTCTCTTAAGTGGAAAAGAATCAACACTAATCATCACTATGGGGATAGGAGAATTACATCTCAACTATGAAAATGACTCTTGTCTAAACCTTAAGAAATTTTTTAAAAGGAAAAGTACACAAAGGGTACAAAAATAGTTTGAATGAGTTATGTATTTTTCATGTCTTTTGAAAATGGTCTTGATATGCTTAAGATTGATTAGAATTTTATTCAAGAAAAATATTTTATAACAAGATTTGTTCAGGACATATTCTCTTTTGGTTTATTTGATGTGTGTTTTATTTATTCAGGTTCTCATTGTCATACCCCAAATTTGTCCTACCTTTTTCGAAAAATTTCATTCGCTCAAATTTATTTTTCAATTTGTATCGCTCGTACAATGTAACATATTTTTCAGCAAAAATAAACTTTTTCGCCTTTTAGGCCAATAAATTTGTGACACGTGGCATTTTTTACTTTTATTTTGTTATTATTTTATTTTATTATTTTTTCTTTATAATTTGATTCATATAGTATGTAAATATACTATAATTTTAATATTAGTTAATTTAGAAATAAAATTAAAATATAGAATTTAAATTAAAATTTTTATTATAAATAAAATTAGGTTTTTTTACATTAATTAATTGGAATTAAGTTTAGAATTTTAGAATTAAGATTATTTAAGATTTTAGGTTATAATTGATTTATTAAATAATTAATTAAACATAAAAATTAAAAGAAAATTAAAGAATAGAAAATGTAAAAACAAGGACACGGTTGATTTGGATTTTAGGTTTTGAAATTTGGTATAAATAAGGGCCAGACACACTGTTCAGGGGATCCTCAATTTTGAAGGGCAACCCTAGCCGCCAATTCCATCTCCCTTCACCATAACTTATCCTCTCTCCACCCACATTTTCTTTATTACAGCTCTTCCACCGCGGTATTCACAAATCAACCACGCGGAAATTACTGGTTGTGATTCGAACATCATAGCTAATTGCTTAAGTATGACGAATCTGCAATTCAAACTCGGAGACGCTTTTTAGACAATGACAGTGCGTCAACACAACCATTAGTGTGCAGTGGTATCAGCTTTAAAGTCGTACCGAAACATCAGCAGCAGAACCGTTGATATGGTGTCGTAACGACCCCGCCGTTGCCGTTTTCCACCGATGAGAGTGCGAGAGCTCGATAGCGACGTCACGGACACTAGTTTTTTCTGTTTTGGTGAATATTCCTTCGATCCCATGCTACAAAGCAGCGGTCGCGAAACCATCAGTTCAAGCAAGCAATTATAGGTATATTCATGTCAGTTTGTTGTGCCTGCGCTGTGAATTTATTTTGCTCAATTTTGTATGCATCTTTGCTTGGTTTTCTGTTATGCGTATATATTGCGGTGAATATGGTTAATAAGGTTGGTGGCTTATGCTTTTCATGTATATATAAACTATGGGTGATTCTAAAAACTTTGCAATGTTGTTGCTGTTTGCGTTTTATTTTGATCCTGCTAGCTGGTTCACACCGCTCCGGTTCAATTGATGCCCGTAATTTCTTTCTCTATTCAATTTTGTGGCACTGTTAACATTTTCTGTTGTGTATGATTCAGCATTTTTTCTATACCTTCTGCTCTGTTATTGAGATTATATAGCGGTTTCGATGTTTTCGATTCTAGTATGATATGTTTAAGGTAGTTTTAATCTCTTTTGATGTGAACTGTGATGTATATATGGGGACTGTTATTTGTTCCTTGGTTTTCAATTATGCAGGTTGTATCTTTGGACATATTGTGGTCATTAGTTTCCATTATCCATTTTAATTTCAAAATGTCTCAACTTGTGTGTTGAACTGATATGATAAGTTACAGTTTTTTTTTTTGTGATAAACATTTATGAATTTGAGTTGCTGTAATTATTAAGTATAAACTTGATATGCCTTCTTGCTGCTTAATTCTGTGTTGATGTGCTGTTGTAAAAAATAATATAACTTGAACGTTTTTTATTGTTTGCCGCAATTATAATACAAATGGTTTGCATGAACAATGAAAATGGTGATGTGGATAATATGTGAATATCCTTCCTTCGGATTTGCAGTAGCCGAACAGTAGTGTTGGGGTCATAGTATTCTTTTCCAAATCTTAATATGAAGTAGTTTAAGCATTGAAATATATGTTCCTTAATGTGAAAAAGGTGTTGGACTTCACTCTTAATTAAATAATTGTTTTCATTTTTTATGCTAAACCACTTTGATTTTGAATGATTTTGAATAAGAGGAAAATAATTAGTAGTCTTGGTGTTTCGTATGTTTATTACAATTAATATTTTTTTTATTTTAAAAAAAATAGTTTTAATTTAGTCTTATGTATGTTCATACCATTGTGTACTAAAGTAATTTTAAGATAGTTTATGATTTCATTGTTTTATTTGACAAAATAATTTTATGTTATTTTTTTTAAAAAAAAAGCTTGCATTCTATTTTGTATGTAATAATTTAAAATAGTCCTAAAATAGCTTTTAAGTGGTTTTAGAACATTTTACTATTATGAGTTTTTGTTCATGTAAATGTATTTGATTACTCTTTTTTTAAATAATGGAGGTAGTGGGTTTTTGGAGTCTAGCACTCCTTGGATCCTTGGACAACCGCTCTCGAGGCGCACGCCCTTGAGTTGTGATTGTTCCATCTTTCGATTTTCAAAATCGTTTTCACTCAATGCAATTAAAGCTTCTAAAAGATATTTTTAAATCAATTTTTTATTAATTAGATATTTTTATAATAAGTTCCAATTATTCTTTCCCAAACCATTCTCTTTCCCAAACCAAAACATCCAATGCGATAAACACAAATTCCTCGCCCTCGTGTGATTTCCAACCAAAACACCTTTTGTTAAGAAAATTGTTTAGTCCATTCTTCCGCGCATATGAACTCGTGCTTCAGCCTCCCCTAGCGAGCAGACAAGTCACGTTTAGCAGTTAGAATGCGACCTAAACACTCGTTCGTTTACCAAACCTTTTACCGTAGTTAGCCGAACTACAACAGCTTTGATTTCTCATTTATCAATGAGAATACGTAGGCATAGG